TCAACAAAAAAAAGCATAACAAAATTGATACCAATAAGAAATAGAAACATTTAGAGCTACATATAAAACAATTCATACATTTTTGATGTTACATAACCTATATGATAAACTATATTTGTTCGTACGATTTGTAAAATATATAAATTCACTTAATGTCGATGTAATATATGTAGTAAATATAGTATACACATAAAATTAATATAAAATGCTTTACAATAAATTAGCTTTAGGAAAATATAAAATACATAATTAACTGGTATTGTCACATTAATATTAATTAAAATAAATTGATCACAAATTATATCAATCACACCTGATTGGTTTAAATAAGCAGTGCGTAAATAGCGAAATGCATGAATTTATAAATTATTTATCCCAAATTAGGATACATATTCTAACTTCGTATTTATATTTTAAGCTGTTCCTTTATTTCATATTTTTGCCATTAGATGTCGTTCATATTTATTAATTAAGAAAAGTTGGTAGCTGACAACATTCTAAAAAAAGTAAAAGTTGAATAATTATAAGTAATGTTCATAGTTTTTAATAGTACTAATTATTTCGTCCCACGTTGTTTTCTCAGAGTAAGTATATTTCATCCTGTATAAACTATATTTTTATTATTTCATACATATTTATTTCAATGAGGTTATGTTTAGAATTACGGTATAATAAAATAATAAATTTTCAATTAAAAATTGTATTTCAATTATTAAGAGATGTAATTTTAATAAATATTGAAATACTTTAAACGCAGTTAAAGTTATTAATGTTCACCGATTTAAGGTTATGTCTTTGTTTTCTTTATGTTCACTGATAATAAGTGATCTCAATATTTAAAATACATGTGTATAAATATATTTACATAAACAGATAATAACAATATAAAATATCGTAATGTAATTATGCTAATGTCATTATTGCAATTGTATTTTACGGTGTCTTTATGTTTAATCTGTTTTACAATTTTAAGAGAACATATCATAAGTTGATAAAATACCAGCAAAACATACCAATGCCACATAGCAGAGATGATCCAGTGATTACAAAATTGAATGATCCTTTATTTCATTCATTATTTACGCCGGAACTTAAAATCTTATCAGAATTATTTAAGAAACGAAACTATGAAATACGAATTGCCGGTGGTGCTGTCAGAGATATCCTGATGGGTATAAAACCAACAGATCTAGACTTTGCAACAGAAGCCACTCCAGATGAAATGAAAGATATGTTCAATGAAGAAAACATTAGAATGATTAATAATAAAGGAGAGAAACATGGTAAATGAAATTTACATTAACATTGCTTATATCAGTTAAGTTTAAAGATTTTAGGTAAATTATATTAACTTGTTGCAAAATTTTGAAGGTACAATTACTGCAAGAATTAATGACAAAGAAAATTTTGAAGTAACCACACTTAGAATCGATAAAATTACAGATGGTAGACGCGCAGAAGTTGAATTTATAAAAAATTGGAAACTAGATTCTTTACGCAGAGATTTTACAGTAAATTCCATGTTTCTCGATTTAGAAGGAAAGCTGTATGATCATTTTTTTGGTTATGATGATTTACAAAAGAGACAAATTGTATTTGTGGGAAATCCAGTGAACAGAATTCAGGAAGATTACCTTAGAATATTCAGGTATTTCTTAATTATATTAGTACAAAATATTTTCAATGGTATTATACTTAAATATGTAATACATATAAAGTAAACTATATTTAAATGTAAGTTTTTCATTTACTTAAGATATTTACTACTCTGTAGGTACTTTCGATTTTATGGAAGAATTGCGGAACAACCAGATGCTCATAGGGAGGAAGCGATAGAAGCAATAAAGAAAAATGTACATGGCTTAGAACAAATATCAGGTGAAAGAATTTGGAGCGAATGGACAAAAATTCTTTCTGGAAATTATGCGAAAGAGGTGACATTAAAAATGTTAGAATGCGGTGTTGGAAGGTAATGAGTATTACGAAATGGCATTACAATTGTACTAGTGATCAGAATAGTTAAATAATAAATAAAATATTCTTTTTTCAGTTATGCTGGACTACCAGAAGAACCAAATATAGAAAACTTCAAAACTGTTTATGATGCGTGCAAGCAAAACAATGTTACTTTGAATCCAATATCCTATCTTGCTTTGATGTTAAAGAACGAGGATGAAGCATTCAATCTTCATAAAAGATTAAAATTGTCTTCATTTGAAAGAGATCTAGCAATATTTTTAACCAGTTCCAACAAATACAAACCTTCAGAGAACCTGAAGAATTATGAAAGTATATTTATTCATTGGAAAGGAAATAAAACGAATTGCAAAGTTTATATTTGTGAATTACTTAAGTGTAAACAATTATTTGATCTTGCAGAACAATTTGATAAAGTTATAATACCTAGGTAAGGTAACAATTTAAAAAATATAATAAATACTATATAATATAATAGGCCTTAAATATTCATATTATTTATTTATTACTGCCATTACTTTAATGTTCCATATGAAAATCTGATTTTAGATTTCCGATTAGTGGGCACACACTGAGGCAAAACATAAAAAATGGAAAAAAAATTGGCATGGTCCTTAAAGAATTGAAAGATATTTGGTTGGATTCAAATTTTAAAATGACTGAAGAAAAATTGCTTCAAGAAGTTCCACGAATTATTGGTGAAATAGAAGATAAAGAATAATATAAATAAATATTTTTAATCAAACAACTATATCCTTGATTTGCATTTTGAGTTCCAATTTTTTTATCGGTTTTTACACAGAGACGAATAAGTAGTACGAATTAAATTTTTTAAGTAAATTATGAAGTTTATAAATTTTATATTCAGTAATTAAAATTTACATAGAATCACAATAATGTTATAAGTATTTGAAAATATTTCTATTTTTCTTGTTTTATTATTTTTTCTACATTGTACATTTACAAATAATATTGTTCAAAAACCTTTACATCCTATTATTAAATTACTTACTTTGTCTAAATGAAAGTATTTGTACAAAAGGAAATTAAAATTAAGACTAAATAAAAGTATGCAAATAAACACATTCTATCTTTAAACGAGGATCAAGAAAAGGAAGAACAATTATACATTATGAATGTATAACCTTACAGGAATTATTTTGTATTAAAATCTTTAACAGTATAAGACACATTTATTTTCAAGAGCATCACATACTTATGGTAAATTGCAATCCCTTAGAATCTATTTACATAGTAAACTCACGTGAAAAAATTCCCGTTAACGGGACTCCTCAAAATATAATTCAGGATATTTGCTTGATTATTGAGCTCTTAATTAGGCAATGAAACCCTAATTAATCGAAAATGTTTTCAACTTTGATTTCTTTACTATTAAAATGGTTTTATATAATTCGAAAGTTCAACTTTTCCTAAAACGTTGCTCGAAAATATAAAAAAACCTTTTTTATTCTCTAATTAAATTATTTTATAATACATTAAATGTACATTCTTTTTCACTTAAATTCGATAATTTCGTACGTAATTAGTTTAGTTCAGTTTAGTTGCATTAAATGTAACATGTATACTATTATTTCCAGTGACATATTCTATTTAATAGTAATATTAAATCTCATTTTTATAAATAATGAAGGATGATGTGTTCCATTAATACGAATAATTGGGGTTTCAATTGCATTTTTCTTTCAGAAGGATTCTATTCGGGCCTATCGGAATTAATTTTTAAATAATAATAGAATTTCCGCGTGATGTTTAGAAATTGTTTCTAAGTTAAAGAAATTTTTGTTGAAGCATAAATCTAGTGAAAAATTTGTAACCAATTTCACGTGAACACTTCAGCAAAATCAATTTCCATAGTTTCGTATAGTATTTTTTACCATTCCGCATCCCCATTCATTTTCTGAAAAACATAATCCTTTCCACTGAGGTTCATTATGCCGTCTTTGAGGTAGAATTTCCATTTGTTTCTACTCCTCGTTATCTAAAATAATTATCTGATTATTTTTAAAAAATATTTTTAAAAAATACGTAGTTTATACATTTTTATAACATTCTTTATAAAATAAATAAGATCCTTATATTTTGTTACAAATACCTTGTCGTATTGACAAACGACTACATTATCGGTATCAAATAAATCTGCTGGATCGTCATCCGTTACATCATCTTCAGAATTTAAGGGTTCCTGAAATAATAGGCTACATTATTAAAGAAAATTATTCAGTTTTCTAACAAATATTAATTGATCTAAATTGTTAAGATATAAATATATTTCTTAAGTATATGTAAATCCTTTAAGTTTCTATATTATTATTTCTATATGTATGTACTAAAGCAATGAAAGATTATGTATTATAGTTTTCAATTTTAAAAATTTTCAAATACCTCTTCTCTAGCTGCAGCTTCATCGTTTTCTTCTTCTTCTTTGTCTTCAAGATCTTCTTCTTCATCTTCATTATCTTCTTCTTCCTCTTCTTCGTCATCGTCTGACGAATCACCAAGTGGACCATCTAATTGTGCTATATTATTCTGCAATATAACAGTAAGAAAGAAGTTTTGCACGTATACATGGTATAAGTAACAGAAGAAATACAATATTACGCTTATCTCAAATTAATATTTCTATTAATCACCTGATTTTGTACAGGCCGTTGAGAGACATTATTTGCATTCTGTGTAACAACCTGAAGTGGTTGATTAACTTGGAGGGGTGCCAATGTTGCTTGACCCTGTAGAGTGGAATTGACATGTTGCTGGAGTAAAGTGGAAGCCAAATTTGCTGGTAATCCCATTGCAGCCGAGATAACTGGACCCGTTAAAATTGTATGCAACTGGTTACCTAAAGGTAAACATAATTCCTTTAATTGAATATTTATAATTTATACAGTCACATCGCTATACATAAAATTATTATAATGTACCTTGAATTGCTGATGCAGGAACCTGTATGGTCAAAATTCTTTGTTGAGCATCTGGCACACCAGTCTGTGGTGGTAAAGTAATCTGGATAGGTACTTGCCGTTCCATTACTGCCGATGTAGATGTTACCAATTGTTGGACTGGTGTACTAATATGTTGTTGCATGACAGTCGTAGTTGAATGAGTTTGGGTTTGTGTCTGTTGTTGCGGTTGTTGTGCTTGTTGTTGTTGCTGTTGTTGTTGTTGTTGTTGTTGTTGCTGTTGTTGAGATGCCTGTTGTGTAACTGCATTTCCTCCTGTTTGTTGTACAAAATGATTTCCTACATTTACTCCTACAATTAAGCATATTACACATAAATATTGCAATAAACTTTCTTATCATTCTTAGATTTCTTTTAAATTTTATTTGTGTACCTTTATTAACAGGCACAGTTTTGTGCGTATTTATTTGTGGAACTTGGGGTTCTGGTGGGTCCGGATTCATTTCTACAGCTTTGCTAGACATTAGTTTCGTTTCCCATATTTGTTTGAGCTCTTGTAGCACTTGTTCGTCTACACCTTCATCTATAAATGATTCCCTTACGCCCGATATAACATCCTCTATCACAGTATTGTATAATTTTTGCTGTAACATTAATATGTATTTTATATCTAAACTGATAAGAACATTACATTTAAGTTCTTTATTAATCGTTCTACCAAATATTTCAATATATCATTTTTATATTTCGCTAATATTAAATTTGACACTACTCATATTACTTGTGAAATTAAAAAAATATAATCATTTTAATATCAAGCTATTTCTTACATTATAAATAAATAATTCCTAAATTCTGTTTACAATAGTTTCATATAATTTTTGTGTAATAACATTATAAAGTCTTAACATTGGTAAAATTAAAAGCAACAAGCGAATCTTAACCTAACTAACTTTACTTATTAAAAATTAGAAAAAGACTTTTTTCTAAACAAATTAATATGAAAAAACATAAAGAATTGGAAATAATAATAATTACTAAAATCTTATCAATAACATACGAATTCATTGTGATTTTCTGTGAGATTAAAATTTTCATTAGAGTAAAAGGATCGAAGATAAGGATTATCATGAGAGAGGTGGAAAAAAATTAAATGATAAATATCGTCATTGCCGTCATCAAAATTATCTTAATTAATTGTCTTTTTAATTGATCGTCGGTTTTTGTTCATATTTATTACTCACCACGCTTGTCTGACTGAGGGCCATCGCGAGGATAATTCGTATTGTCTAATGACAGAAACAATAGGAATAATCCAACGAATAAATCAGCCCCAGTTCAGAAGTCGATCCGCGGTAGCATCGCTCTTTTATATACTGTGGACACGTCTCCCATTCCACCTGATTCTACCGTGAATTGAGATCGGCCATTTCAAGGGAAATCAATGTAACCAACTTCACGGAACAAAAATTCTCCGACTATATATTTTTTTATTATAAAAACATCGGCTTAAAATTTGTTCGTTGCAAACCGGGATAGACACATTTATTTTCTATCAATACAAATAAGTCTAAACAAGTATAGAAGAAAAGAAATTATTTTTAAGTTAATCATTAAATAAATTTGTATTTTTATTTATACAGTAATATTTCCTGATATTTATTTAATACAAGAAACGTTTAATTTATTATTAATTTATCATCTATTAATAATAAAAGATAATTAAATTGAAACGAAGTCAAATAACGTTTAAAATTGTAAAGTTCCAAGGATTATTTCAGACACAAATAAAGAGACTCATTTTTACTGATCATTTAATGAACATGAATTATATAACTTATCACGAGGGTATTGTTACTTGTGAATGCGCAGAATTTTAACAAGTAAAGTAAACGAAACGATTAGGAATAGTTTTACATTCGATAAGAAACGAAAATTCTTTATTAGGAGATTAAATATCGATATAATATTATAAAAATATAAAATATCGTGTATTTAAGTAACAAAATAGCAATTTCGAATCTCCTTCTATGTACTGATAATATGAAAGAGATCGGCCAGCGATATGCTAGCGTGAAAAGTATAAAGGAAAAATAAGTGTATTGTTAAAAATGAAGAAATCAACGTATTGATAGGTTTACTGAGAATTCTTCATAAAGCGCGGTTCTATTTATTAGAGCAAGTCTATACAAATTCACGATTTTTTATTATTGATAACAAACGACAGGATTAAATCAACTTTTTACAATCTCTCTTATTTGTTCACGCACACATGCAAGCAAACCAAAGACACACGACATACACACGTACTCACACACACTCTCTCTCATACATTGTATTTCATATACATAAGTATACGTTTTAAGAATTTCGAAAATGTATTATTTAATTAATTAAAGTTTAAAAATAATCGACACTTTGATTCCTGTGATTTTTCCAACATGATCAATCCGATCGATATAAATTTTTTCGTGAGTGTCTTGAAGAGCAAGAAAATTCCTTACTGATTATCAGCTTTTTAGTAGTGAATATACGATACCAGTTCAGTGAATAACAAATATTTTAAATAATAGTATGTACATTTAAATCGATGAACGAGATGTTCCATCAAAATCAGTATTACATTAGCAATCAGACTGTTTTTTTAATATTTAATATTTTGTTATATAAATTGATTCAGACTCACTTTATTGACCAATCTTGAAAATATTTGTTAATTGATTAATTGCTTAAAAAGATTCTAATATCGACAAAATAAAGTGTATACTTCGTATGACGAATCTTATGCAGAACTATGTAGAAAATTTATACTGCATTGAAAAATTGTTTTCCTCGTGATTAAAATTTTGTAATATAAATATGAGTACATACTGAAAATACATTTACCTGATTCATTAATTGCTAAGTGAGATGATTAAACTCGTAACACTTCTCAATAATTAGTTAATAATATAATATTTTATCTTTTCTCTTTAAATATGCATTCCTACTTCGCCAATCAGTAAATGATAACGAAAATAATTCCTTAGTTGTAGAGCATGTTTTAGCCTCATGATTCATCCGAAATGAAATGAAATCTTTTTACAATACATTGGAATTGTTTGAAACGAAAATTCGTCATTTTTGTTCTTATTTTCAGAATATTTATGGAAAAAGGATTTCAAGATCATCGACATCGGAAAGAGAAAAATCTGGAAAATCTGGTGACCGGCTGTAATCCGTCAAATCTTCTCCAGAATCATCGCCATCAGCTGCATCATCATCATCATCATCATCATCGTCATCATCATTATTATCACGATCGTTACGCTCGTTTTCATCGCCGTTTTCTTCTGCGCCTGCATCTGGATTGTCTGCGTCTATCCCAACAAAAATAAAAATTATGTTTCCATCAACAATATATTATCAATAATATCTACCATTTATACAAAAATTTTTATCGTATGAAACATTAAATATTTAGGTCAATTTCTACGTGTATTAACTCTGAAAAAAGTTAAGAATATAATTAAGATAAGATTCACATTGATATTTTTTAAAATACTTGTTATTAAGTAAGATATTAAAATCAATACATTGAAATAGAAATATTTATGAAGAAACAATATTGAGTATGAAAATTTAGAAAGTAAATATATTATAATTAATATATATAAAAGTAAGTATATTATAATTAATATATATAACAAAGTAAGAATATATACCATCGGCATTATTATCATCTGAACCAGAATTTGAACCATCATCGTCGCTCGCATCAAGATCTTCTTCATCATCGTCTTCATCAGCTTCATCTTCATCATCTCTCCTTCTACCAACATCATACAGCCTAACGCAAGATTCTTGGATACTGTCGAATTCACCCTGATTTTCAACTATAGCTATTTGCGTGTCGAATTTATTACAAGCCAGCCCATATATTCCTCTTTTAACATCACAAGTTGCTACAATTAACATTATATTAAATATATTTCTTACTTTTAAACAACGTGAATTACAATTGAATAAAATTTAAATAAACATACCAATGTTACTATAATCCAAAGCATCTAGAGTTTTAAACGATGTAACATAATGTGATTCATCTCTATTTTCTTGATCTAAAGGTACGGCATATATAATATTATTAACAGGTGAAAATATTACTTCCATTTGATCAAGCGTTGGCACTGTCTTCAGTAAATGAAAAGTTCTCAAATCCCAAACTTCTGTGTTTGACACCACCTCTGTACCTGTTGAAGTGAAATTAATATTAATGTTACACAATTCTAAACTTTCATATCGTTCATTATTAAATAAATATACAAATGATATAAGTACCATTTGGATGGAAAACTCCATTGAGTGTTTGATTTAATTTATCAAATTTGTGAATTTCTTTTCCCGAATTTACGTCCCATAGGATACCGTCACTTAAGACCAGTTCATCGTTCATGCTGAACGTAGCTCGATTTTTAGTGTATTGGTTAGAAATTGAAGGTGTAAGGGTGGTTAATAATTTTCCTGTAGCTATATCATATATCTAAAAATAAGGGTTATAAGAAGTTACGCATTAATTCATTAAAAATGTTTACATAATCTGCCTCTGTTAAAAATCTTAATGTATTCCATTTTCAATTTTCTTATAGCTTTATATAAATAACTTACCGTAGCACTTTCACCTTGAGTTCCAATAATTCTGTCTTGAAGTTTTCCAAATTCAACGTAATCTTCATTTTCTAAGGATAATTTCATATCGAAGAAGGTTCCTATACTCCAAAGTGCAGACATGGGGCTTCTCCATACAGTAGAGCATAATAGTAAATTTCCACGCTGGTTACATTCCATATGATAAACATAAGATTCATGACATGGATATGTTGCTTCCTCCAATCCTGTATGTGCATTAACCATTTTTACGTCTCCCGCGTATGTACCTAACATTAAATAGTCCTGAGAAGGCTGAAAAATTATTTAAAAATTACATTTCATATTATTATATATTTATTTCATATTAAAGAAGTTTGATATGTTTTACATTTAATTCTCTTAATAATAATAATAATTGTTAGAAATATTTAGAAAGCGTGCCAAGCTTTAAAACATTCATTCTTTGTTTTTAATTGATAATTTTTTGTTTGTTTAATATAAATATATGCTTGCTCTTTGAACTGATTAAAAATGAAATTTACCTATTCAAAATATTTACTTCTTCTGACATAATTTGTTAAATAAACATCATTCAGTTATAACAATGAGATAATTAAATAAAATTTATTTAAAAAAGTACTTCGTTTTACTACTAATAAAAGTAGGATTACCAAAAAAATGCAACAGGTAAAACTTCCAACATCCGTAGGCCTAAAAGTTTTTACAGGGCAGAACCGGCTGTAAATATGTCTTCTATCCAATCTTCTACCATCTATACCTAATGCTCTTCTTGCCAGTCTTACAGTTACATTTGTCGGTGTTGAATTCTTTGTACAAGGATCTGGACATTTATGTGGTCTACAACAAAATTATTTGATTACAAAGTGAACACAAGTTGATATTAAATTTAAGATAAAATAGTTGTAAATTTAACTTTGAAAATACTTACTCAAAAAGATTAAATTGTGGACAAGTAACCATAGGATTTTTACAGAGCGCATGTTGATTAGTTAAATATTCTGTAATAATGGAATCCAATGTTATGGTAGATGGATTAGAGGTAGCTACTCCAGTGGTTGCACCGCCTCCAGGATCTCTTGAAATTTGCTTTTGTAAAGATCTACATGCAGTTGGCTGAGCAGTTGACTGGCAATTCATAGTACTGACTAGAGGCTGTTTATCAGCTTGATTTTTTCTGAAATCATTTGTTCGCATTTTAAATGTTATCTTTAACATATTCGCGACCGGCAAATTTTTCATTTTTCTAATACTCATTGCCGGTGAAAATGAAGAAAATCTTAAAGCTTGAATCTTAAATAATTGCCGCAAATTTCTAACGATAAAACAAGCACAAAAATTAAAAAATTTATTTCTAAATATTAGTCTTGTAACGATTTGTTGTTTCAAAATTATTACATTTGAAAAGACGCGGATTCATATCAACGGCAACCAGGAATAGAATTTGAAAAGACGTGAATTCACGTCAGCGATCGCGAATATGTTAATATTAAAATATGCATTACAAGTAAAGTGTTACAAGAATAGAACTCACTTTGTTGTGATCTGTAGTTTAATCGGCTGATTTGTGCTAGGTGAAACAGCATTTTGAGTAAGACAATCGGAAAGTTTTAAGCGCAAATTATTCGCGCATGTTAAAGAGGATGAACCCGAACTGGTATTTGAGTGGGATATATACCTAGACGATGAAGTGGGAGTGGTGTTATTTCGAGAAGATACTTCTCTTTGGTTACATCTACTTGTATTGTATAAGTTAACAGGTGCTCCCGGCGAAAATCCATTTCTTGTCTGAAAGAAAATAAAGTTAAATTATGCATTACAAATATTAAATTGCTTTTATTATTATATCTTACTCCAGTGGTCGCAGGGCTCCGGTAAGTAAATGGATGATAAGTAGTCACAGGTTTCATTATCGCAGAAGAATCAAGACTGGCTTCTTTTTGAAGACTTGTTGCAGTTTCCGTTAAACCTTTTGATATTAAATGTTGGTATATTAATTGATTCAACTGCTGTTCATTATATTGTATCCTTGTTTGCGCTACTACGTTTGCCTGGAACGCAAAAGTTAAAAATAATTTATAATTACTATATCGGTGAAAGCTTATTTACGTAACAATATCGTTTAATTCAATCAATTTTAATTTGTCAAATAAAATAGTGATGCGACACAAATACAATTAATTAAATATATTTGTTAAGAGGACTTACCCTGTGTAAACTAGCTAAAGAAATCTCATATTCTGCTCCAGTGGGTTTCGCTTTTCCAGAAACTCTTTCCATCAGTTCTAAAGCATACTTTTGAAACATAACGTGTTCCTGCCTCTTCTCTTGAAGTATAGGATCTTTCATAAGAGCTTGGATTTGTCCATCAGTAAACATTGGAAGTTTACTAATAATTTGCCTGACTTTTTCGCTACGTGCCAAACCCGCTAAGGCACGACACGCTAATGCTCTTATACTGTCTGCATCTGTGATTGGAGTTTTCACCATCATCAGTTGTAACAACACCTGTAAAACCAACAACGTTATTAAATGAAACACTTGAATTTAATGAAATAAAAGAATTACATACCATTATCCCGTTATTGGATCTCACACTCTCCCAAATTTTTTGAATTAACTCTTCGCTGTTGTTAATATTCGCTTTTTTCTTAGCAGAACCTGACACCGAATATCTTGCAACATTACCACCAATCTATGACAAAAAAAGGCAAGGAAAATAAATTATTTGTACACTTGGGAATAAAATGTGTAAAATTTAAATTTTACATCGAATCCAATTATTTACCCTATTTATTGGAGCGCAAACACAATTAATCACAGCTCTTAGTGCAGCTCTCTGCACATCTGCATCGGCAATAATTTCACACTCCGCTGCAGCCAAAAGTAAATTAATTGCCATTGTCATAGACATGTCTGGCATGTCCACTCTTTCGCAAAGCAATAACATTACTTTTGGCACAACTGAACAAATAGCTATTACGTCAAGGCAGGAACGAACTGTTTCCGCGCTAGAAGTTGTATGAACACGACCGCTGTAATTCCATTCTCTAGCGAAAGCAATGATTTGAAGGAGAAGTGTTATGCCTCCAAGACGATGGAGTTCTTCTACTGGCGGCCATACTGCTCTTACAGACATTAGATCTTGGAGAATTTCCACCTATAATAATAAAACAACGTTACATTAATTACAACAGTTAAATATAATAACTTTCAAGGACTTGTTAAAATCCGATAAGTATTTCCTAAAGAAATATTACTTTCGCTTGCACTTCTTCACTGCTTAATTTGCAAGCTTTATAAGGTGGTAAAGATGGCTGCAAAGTATCGCGTTCTGCCCTAACATTTTCTGCTCTCTGTAGTTGCTCTGCTTTTAAATGTAAATGGGCTTCCATATAACGTTTTAAGGCTACTGCAACGTGTCTAACAATTTGTCTAGATGCACACTCTTCATCATCATTTAATGTTGGCTCCTCTTCTAGATTTAAAATCGGCAATGTGGATATCTTAAAGAAGGTTGATTAATTACTTAAAAATTATACAATATATCGTCACACATAAGTCGAATTTCTGATATGGAAAGATGTTTACCACATTAAAAAGTTTTCTTAATCCGTCCTGCGCATCGAATTCTTCTAATATTACTTTGAATGGGAAGGAGAAACCAAAGAACATTGTTGCATGACATCTTCCAGAATCATGACTTCGTTCTAAAAGCCACAACGCATAGGTAACAAGATCCGATATAACATGTTTCGGCAACAAACACACTCTTTCCATTGCATCTTCGCAATATGCTAAATAGTATAAACATATAGAAACACCAGTAGCTGCAACACTCGGTCTTGGAACATCTAACAGTTTTTGTAAACCTCCGACATTGAGGAATTCAATGGAGAACTTTTTATGACAGAGAAGAGAAGCTAAGTATTTCAAAGCTTCAAAGGCTAGACGACTATCCTTGGTTTCTCTAACATTAATATATTTGAGAATTAGTTCCAGAGCATTTTGTTCAAACACATGACCTAAGAATTCTTGATATTCACCCATCGGCGTAAGATACCTGTCAGTCAATTAAAAAGAATTCTTTCAATCAATTTGACTATCATTAATACTAAAGTATCAGTAGCAGAAATTAAATGTAATTAATATAATTAATCAAATAATTTAAAAATATTATTTCTTTGAATAATGATGTTAATACTTTTACCTCAATATTAACATTTGTCTTGTAGACAATGTTGGAGGATGTATTTGCATATTTCCAATAACATACGATTCCATTTCTGCCCATGAGGAATTTGAATTTCCTTCCAGTAAAGTAGACGGAGTACTTGAACTTTGCAACAGAGGTGCAGAGTTCTTTGACAGATTGTATCTTGGTGAATTTGATGGTCTATGAGTACTATGAGTACTTTGTGCCTTAAATGGTGTTACTTGATTATTAGTATTAATGTTCTTTGGCAGTGATAAGGGTGGAGACATTATTTCTAAATACATAACATCGCTCTTTACAGGAGTTTCACATTCTGTATCGTTTTTCTTCTTCTTAGGTAATGGGACAGAATCATCGGGAGATGGAAGATAATCATCTTCTTCCTCTGAGAAACAGTTACTATGATTTGGGCTCTTAAGAACTCCATTCTCTTTTCGTTTCTCTCGTACCTTAAATATAATTAATTAATATAAAAATAATGTTTGAATGCAATACAGTAGAAAGTTCTTGAAAATTAGTTGAAAGAAATATCTTTCATTATAACCCATTAAATTGCTCTTACTTTTCTTTTTCCAGGTACACCTTTATTTTCTCCATCGCCTCCACTATTTCTATCTTTACCGAAATGTGCAAATGGTCTATTATTAGCTGCAAGCTGTCTATTTTCCTGTGCCTTCTCTTGTAATTTATGAAGCCTCTGTAACATTAGAGGCACCATTTTCCCATTTTGTTCTCTAAACCCTAGAACAAAATTAGTATAAGATGAATTAGTTTCTTCATAAACTTGAGTCATTATAATTCCTGTACATTTGACACATTTTTATTTGAAAAATTTACAACAATGTGAAAGTGTATACCTGTAGCGATTTCTTGTACTTCCATAGCTGCAGCCACAAGACCAGTTGCATAACTTTGCAAAGGTTCTATACTTTTCTCTGCCCATGAGAAAAGACGATGTATAAGACCTTCCATATCGGGTTGAAATACAGCAGAAGTTTCTAACCCAGGAAGAATATCAAGCATAAGACGACAGGCTGCAATATTCAGTTTTCTAACATCACGGCCTGTGATGCCTGCACGAGACCAATAAGTATCACGCAAATAATCATTTATAAGCTGCAAAAATATAAAATATTAAACAATAATTTTAAATATTGTAACAGTATGTTAGTTACTTGTATACTGTATTATATTAATATATTAGTCTTAAATATTATAAATATTATAGTATATAACAAATTAGGATAGAAATAAAAATTATTATTATTATTGTTATTATCATAATTATTATTATTATGCAATAATTTACCTTTGTCATAAAATTATCTTTTCTAAATAAAACTTTTAATATGTGCCCAAAATTGCACTCTGGATCTGTACGTGATGGATGTCTTTCATCAAATGGATCTGGATCCATTTTTAAATAATTCTCTGTTTCTAGTTCTATAATTTCTGCCAGTCTTTGAAGTGTAGGAATTGGGTCATATGTAGGAGTCAAATGTTCCTCTTCCCATTGTCGAAGAATTTGAACCACATCTGTTACTTCTGCCAAAGACTCTGCACTTGACATCTTTGTTCCTATTCTGTTATAAGCATAAAATTATATTTAGTGCAAATAATTACTTATTCCTGTAATTCAAATACTAATGCACTGAATTTTTTCTTATAATAAAGACTTATAAGTATAAAAACAATTATTTACAAATTTAAATACTTATGATAAAGTGTTAGTAATAAATATATATTTATTATTAATAATATTATAATTCTTTCATAAAACTGTGCAACAACATATATTTTTATGACATCTAACAATGCAATTTTATGAGGTATATAATTGTTTATTTGAATAAGTGATATACTTTGTATAACAAATGAAAAAATTGAGATTAAATGAAGTTAATATAACATTTATAGTGACTTTTTGGAATTTTGTATTCATATGTCAAAAAATATGTTCATATAAATTAAAAAGAGAATTAAATTTCAATAACAAATGAGATACACAATATGTTAATTTATCCGCAGTAATAATAATTTTCCATTGTTTTAATCAGAATTATTTTCCCTTAATTCTATTGCAAATTAAGCATTTCTAAAACAAATTATAACTATTAAATGAAATTAAACCGATTAGAATTAAAGCAATTGTACATTGCACAATACAATTAAACCCACAATTTTTCGTATGACATTTTGATAAGAAAGAAAAGAATATATATATATATGGTTCTTAATGAATCAATTAACAATTAAGATAATTGAATTTAATACTTATTTGTAATCTCATTATAAATTAAAAAATTGTTCATTATCTAATATCAACTCATAACTTAACCTTAAAACGTAATGTACAATAAACAAAGATCAATCTCTCAGAAAAAACCATATAAGAGATCGATAAAAGGTATCAGTTATCGAAAACAATTGAAACAATTAAAGAGAAAAAAAACTGAATACTACATTAATGAAAGCATTCCGTCCGCACATTTACAGAATTAGATGATGAAAAGTAGCGCGTGTCTTTTTAGGTTAGAGTCAAAGAAACATTACCTTGTCGGAATATATTTGACAGCTAACCAATTTGACAGTTATTACAGTTTAAGTTACCTTTTTGAGCAAGCGAAATTGAGTTAATTTGAGAAAGTACACGTAATTCCAATGAAGAATAGCGTTTTCTTATAAAAGTATGAAATGCAACCACCGACACGCATGCTGAAGACGAGCTAGTTAATTCGACTTTTGAAATGCAATGAAATGTCACAATAAAATGGGAGTTTTTTATCGTACACGTTGGTCCCACGCACTAGTGCTTTTTGAATATTTCGCATGAAACGCTGCGCAAGACGTTTTAAACCGTTTCAGGAAATATGTTTTTGCAAAAAAAGAAAAAATAATTTAAAACGTAACTGTCGTTATTATAAAATAGTTAACTTTTATATTACTTTCATAAAATTTCGTTTTTATGACATCAAAACAAATAGCTTATGATTTCTATATACATTTATATATATTTACATATACATATGTAGAAATTTGCATGTATGCTTGTTACGATGAAAAAGGATGTTTATTTTCACAATGTTCTTACAATTTATAAAATATATACACGAAAATATATAAATATGTTTTATAATCGTTATATACAAATAATTTTATTTAATACTGTGAAATAATTTTAAAATATCGTTCCCGTAATTTCGCATTATTATGGCTACTTAAAATCTCATTTCTATCCCCACCGTTTCTAGTACTACCCATCATTGGATAGATTTTTTAAACAAAGGAATAGGGATAAATATTAGCCAATAAGGGCAAAGACAAAAACTCCAATTTCTAAGAGATCTTGTAGACTGCAGAACTTCTTGAATTTTGTTAAATTAATGGAACAATATTTGTATTACATAGATGTTGAACTGCCTCCCCTTATGCTAGTGACTTTCGGTCAACATTCTCTTACTACCTCTAAGTACTCGAGGAGTACTCGAGAAGTAACTTTCGTGAGGGGAAAATCACTATAGCGCTCGCGAACTCCCAATTCGACACCTCTGCCGTATGAGGTAGATTTTATATTACTTTCAGAACACATTTATATCCTCCACAATATAGCTAGTAAATCATTTTTAAGAACACACTGTCCGTGTCATATGATCGTCATTAAGTGAAGACACCTTCGTCAGTAGGCGTTGACTCCTTGAAAAATTCGATTCGGAATCGACTCCGAAAATAATTGAGAAAATCTTAATTACAAAGAAGAAGAGAAATATTAGACCTTCAAAATGGCATTAAGCGATGCAGATGTACAGAAACAGGTATAAAACTATATAAATTTAACTTCAATAAAATCCCAATGAGCATTGATTTTAAGCTATTTTTGCATTTTATTCTATATATTGTTGCTTGAGCGAAATGCTTGTGTTTAACACCCCCTTTTGTCAAAATTAATATTTTTCTCTTTGCCTATTTTCCTTTAACACGAGAAATAATTAAAAAATTCACTCTTCCTTTGGAAAAGGTTTTCAAATCATTTCAATGTAATTACAATTAAGCATGTAAATTCTGAATCGTGCTAATTATTCTGTTTTGAGTAGAAAACGACTTTTTCTTTTATAGTATATTTTCCATTCTTGTGTCTTTAAAATTCTTAATCAGTATTATAATGTTCATTTATGATTACATTATTTTAAATTTTATAAAAATGTATTATATGTTACCACAATATTAGAAAAGATTTTAAATATTATTGTAATTTTATTTCAATATTTAAAATTAATTTTAATTTTCACTTTTTTCATTCTTTTTAGATTAACCATATGATGGCCTTCATTGAACAAGAGGCCAATGAAAAAGCAGAAGAAATTGATGCCAAAGCAGAAGAAGAATTTAATATTGAGAAAGGTCGTTTAGTGCAACAACAAAGATTAAAAATTATGGAATACTATGAGAAAAAAGAGAAACAAGTTGAACTGCAAAAGAAAATGTAAGTGCAATTAAAAACATTTTACATATATATATATATTAATGTATTGTAATGTAAAATGTGCTGCTACTTTTAATTGAAATTTTTTGTACAGTCAGTCATCAAATATGCTGAACCAGGCTCGCTTGAAAGTTCTGAAAGTAAGAGAAGATCATGTACGCAATGTCCTTGATGAAGCTAGGAAGAAATTAGGAGAAGTAACTAAAGATGGACGTTATAGGGACATTTTGAAGTTATTAATTGTGCAAGGCTTATATCAGGTACATGTTTATATAAACTTTGAATTAATTAATATAAGCTAGTAATACCATATATTCAAAAACATTTATGCATTCTAAATTTGTAGCTGACAGAAGCCCATGTGACTGTTCGTGTACGTCAAGTGGATATTCCCTTGGTGGAATCACTTATTGACTCTATTCAAGATACATATAAACAATCAACGCGAAAAGATGTAGTAATTAAAATTGATCAAGATAATTTCCTTCCGCCTGATAGTTGCGGAGGTGTTGACTTATTTGCAGCGAAAGGTATCTTACTAAATTTATTCTTTACTTCTTTGTTATATTTACTAAAATTTACTTGAAAAGAATATAAACAAATTTATTTTTTGTAGGACGTATAAAAGTCAGTAACTCTTTGGAAACACGATTAGAATTAATTGCACAACAACTGGTACCAGAAATACGCTGTTCCCTCTTTGGAAGCAATCCCAATCGCAAGTTCACCGATTAAAAAACCGCCTATCTCATTTTCTCTTTTCTCTTCCTTTTATTCTTTTTTCCTTCCTAACAAAAACATTCCCTTCGTTAGAATGCTAAAATAACTGCAGAATTCGTTGTATAGAAAATGTAGAATCTGTTATTGACATTATTGGAAAAAGAAAAAAAGTGAAATTGTGAATTATATAAAATTATGCGCGTGCGAGCGCGTGCATGCACATATATAAATATACATATATATATATATACACACACACATATATATATATATATATGTATATATACATATAATATAAATATAATACACATATGCCTATAAAGTATTTTAATGTGAATGAACTTGTACATTTTTTAAGATTTTCCTTTAGAAGAAATTTCCTTTACTTCAATTAATTTTATTTTTATAATGTAGAAATGTAGCAATTGTTAACTGTTGTGGTGAGTATAATTGATCTTAGAACAATTCAAATCTTGTAAAAAAAAGATATATATATATATATATACACCTGACAAATTGTCACCTTATATTTTCTTT